ACACAGAATAAGCAAAACGGAATAAGTTTTTATCGTGATCAGTTACTACATTTATTGTAGTTTGACATGGCGTTTTCAAATCATTCATTTGTCTAATATATAAAAAGTAGGCACTCAAATACGAAACACTATCACTTGCTCACTTTGCCCGAGGGGGTGGCCTAAAGCGAGCACCGGCATACGGGCAAAACGGGCATGCAGAGGGCAATAGTTTTATTTTTATTTTTACTATATAATTTTGACCTTTGAATAATAAGGAATGTCTCTATTCAAACACAGAATGAGAATCATACTTTCTGTATTGCGAAAAAATAGATTCTAGACATAAAAATTCATCAAACAACATAAAAATTAAAACCTAAAACTAATCAGAAGGAACTCTCTTTGAATAATGCAGTCTTGATTCATTATCTTTTAGTATTTTGAAGCTTTTGAGCTGAAGTATTGCAGCTTCACTCCAAGAACCTTGTTGTGATTTTCTTTTATATTTATTTACCATCTAAAAAGTCAAATAATAAGACATTAATGTCGACACTAAAGTCTGTTTTTCTTGGCTTGTCCAATATTGTAAACAATCTTAATATTCCTTTTTAACGAAATAATTCGTTTTAAAATAAGATAAACACAAAGCTCACAACCTACATATTATTATGTAGGTAAGTCATCGTTGAACACCGATATCTTTTCAAATCATTTAATTTATTAATTTTTTTCACTGATATTACTTTAAAAGTTATAAAAAGATTGTTTACATTGTTCGACTAGCAAAGAAAAACGGACTATACCTCTACGATAAATATAGAGGACTTACAATAAAAGCAAGTTAGTTTATATGGCTATGAAGAGGGTAAAGTGAGCATGCTCATTCTGCCCTGCTCACTTTGCCTTTTGCGCCACACCACGTTTCATAAAACATAAACTATAATTCCTTTTTAATAATTTTCAAGGAAATATCCTTAAAACACGCTTAAATAGGTGCAACACATTACGCATACATTGATAATAACGTACGTCACTCAGTTTAATCCAAAACACAATGAACATACCTTTGTTTTTTCATATAAAATTGACGAATTTCGTTTATCGCTGTCCACGCGTGGTGTTGTCACTCGGAGGTGGCGCACACGACTTCCGCGGGAGCGGCGGGGCGGGGGGATAACGTTAACAAGACAAGACAACAAGTCGAGCAAATGAGTGTAAGTTTAGAGGGGGGTGCCCGCTTTAGGCGGAGTGCCCGCTTTGGGCCAGTCTCCCCTAGTCACAATAATATCACAAGACCTGAGTTTTGCAATACAGCCTTCATCCAAATTAACCGTGCCTTTCGACATTGCAAGCCGATGCTTGTTTTATCTAGTTTTAATATGATTGGCTATGCTGGATCTATTGATAGGAGTGTGTGGCGGAATACGTAGCCCTAAGCGGTTTATTGTTGTGTGCAAATTGCAATTAATTTAGCGGATCGAAGTGTAAAGTCGCTATTATCGAAAGGTAGCAGACTTAACAAATATGAGTAAATATTTAGTGTGATTCAAAATTTATCAATCAATCTAAACCGTACCACACTTGATGTTTGTAGTAAGGCCATCGCGGCATCGGTTGAGAAGCTATTTTTCCTAAATTCGTAGTACCTACTACAACCGAAACCACTGAAGCTGTAAATTTTAACTGACCCTTAAAACTGACTTTTATTTAGTTGTCTAGTATTTTATTTACTTTTATAAGTCCTTGATAGACTTTATAGACTTTTATTTAATTTTATAAGTCCGTAGGTTTTGATAATGAAATTTTGCGGAACCCTTTGCGCGCGAATATGGCGCGCACTGAACCAATAAAGCTCGCTAAACATCGCTCTTTCGCGCGCACCTCAGTTGCGCAAAATGTGCGTCAAAATTCGCAGCTTCATTTGCAGCTTGAAACAATCGCACATCCGTTTGTCTGTCAACAGCAAGGTCTCAGATGATTGTCCGAGGCGTGCGAACATTAACTAAGTAACGGCGCAATCATGGCTCATTACTATATTTGTGCAATTGTCTGTAATTATTCCTACGACTGCAAAAACCCAAATTCTCGTGGGCTTCAATGAACTGTCCGTAGTTGGTTGCATGAAACAAAAAATTCGAGTCAACACGAGGAATACATGCATCGTATCGTATAGTAGTGGTGTGAAAACGTTTGCATAAAAATAACAATACAAAAATAGCCATGTGCAAATTCTGAGAGAGTTGCTAAGCATAAAAAAAACTTCTCGAGTTCTGTGTGCCTACCATGAGTTTACGTTAGGTGTGCTCGCTAGCGACTGCGTAAAAAAATGACATTTAAATGTATGACATATTGTGCAGCGCCCCTAGCGGCTACTTTCAAGAAATAAAATCTTCATAGAATTTTTTGACGTATTCGCTAGCGAGCTCACCTAACGTAAACTCATGGTAGGCACACTGATGCTTTTTAGTTTTTCCCTAGAAAAACTCGCAGTGAAAACTTTAATAAATATTTTATGAAACCTATTTCATAAAAGATATTTATCAAAGTTTTCACTTCCAATTTATGAAATAAATCCTTATCCTGAATAAATGCCACAAAACGACATTTCTCCGGCATGATTCCATTGATTTAAGTGCCTATTCAAAACGGTATTGCAAAATGTATTCGATTGTTCTTGTATTCAGCTATAAATTTCTCATTGAAATTTCTACCTTACTGTGTTTATTTGTTTTCTTATCCATTGAAATTTGGTCACATTACCGACATATTTACTATCTACATAGATTTTATTTACCCAACTGATAACTTTGTTCAGTTGCTAGACGTTTAGAGGTAAACATTTACCGAGTCACATGACATCATCACAATCATTGAAGAGTCTGAATCCACTTAACCGTCTGATTGAAAGTTTATTTAATGACAATACTCTAGGTCACCTAGGTCTATCAGCCCAATGGTTAATTAATAAAGCGCAACGTACAGCGATCCTTGGCCCAGTTGGCAGTTGGCAACGTGACTGGCGCATCTGTTGTGCTTATGCGCCAACGTCGCATCGCCAACATTGATAAGACAGCCGTCCAACGTTTTAACACAAGAACACGCGTGGGTCATCAATACGACAATGCGTACGATTGTTGATTAATATGAAAAGCGCATCGCCTCCTTGACCTGATTGGCTCTACGTGACACCTCACGCTAGAATGAAAGAACTTGCACACTTAAAAACGTATATTGTACGTTTGGTTTTTTAGCTATACTTACATACTTTTTGAAAAATCATGATATAAAAGCTAATACGTCGCTGTTCGGAACTGGGCTAATCACACAATAAAAAGTGTTTCTCTCTTAAATCAATGGGATTTACAAGCGCCAAAATATTTAATGGCAAAAATGCGCAACGGATAGGCATTCCTTGGCCCAGTTGGCACTTATTCCCAATTCGCGAAAAATGAACCTGCCAAGTCGGCAACAGGGCCTCCTAGATTAATTTTAATCTAACGTATGAAAAACTTCTCTGTAATAGGTACAAATCCGTAAACTTTTTTCAATTTTGTTTAGTATGTAATTCATGAACGTAACGCCCATAGCTATCAATTATGAAACCCAAAGTATTATTTAATACCGGTAGTAAATAATAAACAGTAAAATAAGCACAGAAAGTACCTCAGGTTATGCTATTAAATAAGTTACGTTTTTATTAAACCAGCCTCATTTAGCGGGTTAACAAATATGGTTATGTTAAATAACAAACATAAATGATGATTACAAAATTAGTTACTCTTGTAGTAGGTAATAACATTTAACAAATGTCCGACAAACAAATCTGCGTTTAACATCATTAACTGGACATCTCCGAGGCTATTATGGACTAAAGAACGTAAAGAACATTAAGCTGCAAGTCTATAATAAGACGAACCAACCATTTGACATCTGCTATTAGATAAAAATACGAGGACGTCCAGTCGTTAACGGAATCTGGTCGGGTTTTATTTTATTCGGTTTTAATTAAGGTAATTTATCTCTGATTAGATCTCTTCAATGTATATGCATTTCAAATACATCATGGCCATGTTAAAAAAACATTAACATGAAGCTACAAGTAAGTACACCACTTGAGAAACAAATCGACAACAGAAACTTACGTCCTTATACATAAAAACAGTCTGAAGAGTTTATTGTTTTTTAATGTATATTAATATAGTATTAATCGAGATTGTACATAAACTTAAGCTTCAGATAATCTTAGCAACTTACGAATACTTAATTATGTTATAGAATTCCTTAAAAACCGAAGTAGAGTTCGGTCACGTCTACCTAAATCTGGCGTCCCTATTCGCAAGCAAAGGTCGCTTAGGTCGCATCATAGCGATCGGTCGTTATGTAACATAGCGATTGCGACATCACAATTATCGGGGTGTTCGGAGGAGCCCAATGTCACGACCGTGGCAGATCAATCCGTGGGTACACGACCTGCGCGCGGGGTCGACACTTGTCTATTAGCGTTGGCTCACCGTGACCACACGTCGGTGTAAATCATTTACCAATATTTATGCTATGAGTACACGGCTAAGACCCTCGTTACCTCATAATAGAATAAATTTTAAAACAATAATACAGCATAGTACTTGTGCATTTATTTTGTGCTTCTGAAGTATTTAACTATTATTTATGTTGGTACTTTAAATCTGAAGTTGCTTACTTCAGTCTCTATTTGTGATGCCTAAAACGAAAAGCTCCTGATTTATTTCGTTAACTAAGCTTTGAAAGCTTTGTATGTATAGGTAGAGACGGTGAAAATTCAGCTTATGACAGTCTTAAGCTTACATAAGTTTTTATAATTCCCTATGCAAGCTTAACTTATCTATTCTGATGGTATTCTTGAATAGAACCCCGAATAGACAGAACTATAAAAAGCACTATCTATGCTACTAGTAAGACCAACATCTTTTGTGCTTTTATAAAAAAAGCTATTCATGACAATCAAAGATACTGACTGACCCCAAAATTTTATTTTTCAGGACCAAAGGAGTTCTTCTACCGAGGACACAACTACTTCTACAGCGGCCATGTTCCCGAGCTAGCCAACAGGAAGGTGGACTGGCTAGACGGCCGTAACATCTGCCGCGAATACTGCATGGACCTTGTCTCTATGGAGACGCAGGAGGAAAATAATCTAATCTTCAAGCTTATCCAGCAAAGTGAGTTTAGTTTTAAAGTCATTATTAAGAAAAAAATTAAAGTTTATACTAGGTCTTTGAGAAACATTGTAGGCATGCGGAAAATATATGCGAGAGTATTATTGATTACAAAATGCAAACCATTTAAAAAAATAAGTAATAGTCTCTGGAACTCTGGTAACTAGTAGGTATTTTGAATAACTCAGTAATATTCGAATAGTGTCTAAAATAATAATTGTTTGTAAAGAAGAATATATAGATATGCTAAACAAATTTTTTTTTTTCTATAAAAAGTTTTATTAATAACCGCTGTTAATTCCAGATGATGTGCCGTACATCTGGACGTCAGGCCGTCTCTGCGACTTCAAGGGCTGCGAATCCCGCAAGGACCTGGAGCCCAAGAACGTCTTCGGATGGTTCTGGTCCGCCAACAGGGAAAAGATGGCGCCCACCAACCAGGTATGTTCAAATACCTTCCTACTACATATTTTTTACCTATATTGCATGCGCATGTGGGTGTATATTATGGTTATGGGCTTTTGGGATTTAGATTTAGACTGAAACTTAAGTACTGATCGGATCCTGCAAATAGATTAGTAGACCTTCCCAAATCCCAACGCTTAACACTTTCATGGACAGTGGACTGCTATAGCATATTCATAACAATTAAACTTCTAATGTGTCTGGGCTACTGTCCGGGAAAGTGTTAAGATAAGTTCTTTTGAGAGTTGAGGATCAGTATTTCAACGCTAATTCCTACTTAGTTGCAAAACATTAAAGTTTACTCCTTCTACACAAAAATAATTATCATAATGAAATATTAGCACTTGCCATATGTTTGTCTCGAAGCGCTGGTAGGGCCCAAAAGATAAGGAGACATGTAAAGTGCCCCATAAGGGCTACCTTTTTCTTTTTTTATTATTTTCTATTGACGTTCATAAGTGCCACTTGTGGTCTAAACTGAATAAATATTTTTGATTTTGATTTTGATTACAAGATAATTGGTAGGTACGGAGTTTGCTAGAGACTATTGTGGAGAGAAGTAAACAACTCATAACTTCGTAAGGCACACACAGTGAGGCGGCGAAAGCCACAGCAAAAGGGAAAATTTGCCGTTTCCGGCACGTACCAACTTACTTTTCCGAATCATAACTTTTGTGAAACGCAACCACGTGATGTAGTAGGTATTTTACATTACCTACATTGAAAACAAAGTTTTATAAGTTCCTGCTATTGAAAGGACCTCTAAGTTAAGAGTTGGGGTCTCTCAACTTAGAGAAAATGGGTTCGATTATTATAAGTTGGAAAAAAATCACTTAGCCACATACGAGATGATAGAATCAAAATTAACTGTTTTTTGTTTCCCAGATCCCCAACGGCTGGGGCTACAACCCATGGTCGCAGACCGGCCACAAGAAGCAACGTCAGCCTGACAACGCTGAATTCGACATCAACGGAACCACAGAGTCCTGTATGAGCGTCCTAAACAACGTCTACAACGACGGCATCGCCTGGCACGACGTCGCCTGCTACCACGAGAAGCCCGTCGTCTGCGAGGACTCCGAGGAACTTCTCAACTACGTCGCCAGTACCAACCCCGGCCTCCGTCTGTGATCCAACTAGCGTAGTAGCCACTCCAATCAGGGTCTCATTTACATTACCATTGAGTTCAGTATCCGATATCATTGATGTAGTAGACTTTTAATTTCTCCTCATAGATAAAATAAGGTACAAATTAGATATCTACTTCTGCAATAAGCATACCCTCATCACACTCCAACACAGTATTTATTCGTCGGTATACATCACAAAAACTTGCCATAAACTCGCTTTTGGGATAGCCTTCCATCAACACTGCCTTTATTCCGTCGTACAACAGAGTGTACAGAATAGTTATTTAAGACTTAATATGTAACTTAATTAGGTTTATTTACCTAAGGGAAGAATTTCTACTTGTATATAAAATAATAAAATTAAAAACAATAAAAATTATCAACAATGTTTTATTCTCTCAAAACTAGTAAAGAGACATTTTAATGGCACTTATGTATAATCTACATTTTAAATCACAACACAATTTCTTTGTTTTATGTAGATGATACGAAATCTAAAAATAAATTCGTATGTTATTAATTATTAGAAAATCACAAGTTGACATGATATGGTGTAAATAGTTTTCTACCAAGACACGTTCGCTCGGCACAAAATCAGCTTAATATGTTTCAAAAGGAATTATTAATTAATTATTATGATATTTGATATCGATGGTGGGGTATACATTTTTATTTTTATTAGTCCTTGATGCTAAGGAGAATTTTTATTGCACAGAAAAGCTGTAATGGTATCTAAACTTTACTAACTTTGCAACAAGGCTAGAGAGCATAAATATACTGTTCTACATACCTATTATATGGTAGGTATTATAACAATTATAATATCACTCGTTTTAAGTATCTTAAATATTACATAAAGAAAGTACCTACTTAAATACTAGTCAGGCAAAGATTTATCATAAATGCCTGCTTTCATTATAAAGCTAAACACACAAAATAAAAAATAGTCGTACAAACTTAACATAAACATAAAAATAATGGCTTCCTTATAACAAAAACAACACAAAAATATTATTCTATGAAGTCAAAAACAAAAATAGGAACTTGCCTAGTTAGAACAAATATCAGTCATGTGGCTAGTTAAGGTAAGTGATATTAATTAATACAATTAGTTAGGCTTATTAAGTAATAAGTACAAACATTGTAATATTGATTACAAAACTTGTTTTTAACTAGACCTAGACTACGTGATAAATCTAGAATAATTAAATTCAGAAAAAAGTTAGATGCATGATCAACATTACTCCTTAATTATTATAAAAAAAAATTATAGAATATCATCAAGTACGAAGTTTTGATTAATAAGTTTGAGAGAATGTCTTGAAGAGGCCCGCCCTACACGTTTCAAGTCGTGGTCTTTGTATTGCTCACACATGTTAAGATCTCTCATTTTGTTGGTGAGCACATTCAGAACATTGTACTCCCGGCCACAAACAGTAATATACATATGGGAATATTTTTCCATATCAGAGGGCGACAATGTGTACATGGGTTCTCTGGCAATTCCATATTCCAGGACAGTGCTGCCCTCTCCTGAACTAGAGTCGCACTCCTCAACCGTCTCTAACTGCGGCGCGCCGGCACAGATGTCGCTGTATTCCTCATAGGTGGTATTCATACTCATTGTGGGCAAATCTGAGTCAGCAAAAGCTGGCTTCAATTTACAACCCAAATGCTTGCGATGACTTGTGTAATTGATGGAAAGGTCTGTAAAATATTACACAAATAAAAATATATACTTTCACCAACAACATGCTTCGTGGTATTAATAAAATATTGTGATAATTATTAATTACTTTCAATGTACACAGCCTTATTTTTTTGTAAGAAAACTGGCCACAATTCCAACTCATCAATGATGTTCACTATGCCTTTGCCTTTTAAGTCCAGATATAAATCCCCCAGTACCTGCAAACAATAATGGAATAAACATTTTTGTTTCACATTTAACACTTAAACAAAGTTTTAAATTTTTCTTAAAATACATATTTAAAAATATGAATAAGTTTCTACGACTTACAACATCATTGTCTTTAGTTGTCAAGAGAGCAATAGGCAAGAAGTACACATTATCAGCACTTGTTATCAATGACCGTGCTTTTTCTATTGACCCAGCAGTCCACTCATTGGTAACACAATTTTTTATTTCACAGTCGTAAGTCAGGTCCTAAAAATATTTATTTTAATTAGGTAATAATATCATTGGAAATTAAATTTTAATGATTGGCAATTTTAATCATTATGTTACATAACTAAATATTAGAATATTACATAAAATTAGATAGTTACATTACATTATAAGGCCTAAAACAGAACTGTAACTGTGTGATTAAATTAAGTAAATAGATTCCCACTTAAATGACTATTTTTCTGAATTTAATGACAAATTATCTTAACCCAGATGGATGGCAGTTTTGGCATTTATTTTAGTTTAAAGAACATGAAACTTTAATTTCTTTTACTTATTAATTTGAAGTTGATTGAAGAACATTTTAATCTTTAATAATAGTTAAACTGGTTACTGTGTGTTAATAAATTCATTAGGTAAACAGGTTTCAGTAAATATTGGAAAATTATCATAATGGATACCAGGTACCTACACAACAAAACAAAATAGCAATATTATATTGTATACCTACTTTATCCATAGGAGTAACTCCATGGATGCTGGCTTCAAATACTTTGGTTGGATAATTCATGTGTTCAGGGGGTAGTTTCACATGCACTGTCTTCTCATTGGGCCATATATAAATGCCATAATCAATAAGCCAGATTAGAAACTGAGTATCCACTTTAACTACTCCACGAACCCATTTATCCTTCCACATCACTGCAATATACTTTGGAAAAATAAACATAATTTAGTAAGGTACTTTAGAACTGAAAGTATCAATATAAAACAAATTATGTACATTTCATTAGTGAATTATTGAATTGTTTATATTTATTACACTTCAAAAAACATCTAACAGAAAAGAATAACGTAGTTACCTCCTCATTTTTAACATCTGAAAGACCTGTAAGACTGCCATTCACATGTTGAGTTTCAACTGGATTTTCGAATAATTCATTAGTCTTCTTATCTTCTTCTTTTATGCAGAAAAAGGACCACGGATTAATAAATGTTGTAACAGTCACATTCATCATTTAAACAAAAGTTTTAATTGACAAACCAACAGAAAACCCCTGACTAAAATTATGAAAAACAATCAGCTGTCATTACAAAACAAATTGCAGAGTTGCAGAATTTTGCGCGGGAAAGAAAAAGAAGAAAGAATTAGTTGACCATAGACTATTGCAATAGTGAGTGGGCTTCCTCCATTTATCGCTCGTATCGAATAAGTATCTCAAAATGTTTGAGCTACAACTACAACGCATCACTAATAATGGCGCGTATTTTTAAAAAGTTTTAGAAAGTTTAAAATTACCTATTGTACTGACTTTTTTATAATAATAATTATTATTGGTGAAAAATTGTTATTGTTGATGATTTTACTTGCAGATAGGTACTCTTTTTAGTTAATAACAAAATAATATAATAAATGAAAAATGGCACAATTTGTGCGATCTTATCGCTATAAGACGGTTAGTTTTATACAAAAAAAAAAACATTTTATAACGCTCTTACTATAATGTTTTCACTCAGCTTTGCGCAATCAATTTTTATTTTTAATGATAATTAGACTAGGCGCAGACCATCGATTTTTTGTTGGTCGATAGTTGTGCTCGATTTTAAATTGTATGAAGAATCGGCCAAATCAAATCGGTGTAATGTGCGCACTTCCATACATGCCCAATGCCCATAGCCCGACTAAACTATCGGCTATCGGCCGACGAAAAATCGATGGTCTGCGCCTAGGCTTAAGATTACTTTAAGTATTATGTTTTTATTTAGCATCTTTAATGCCCCATTGCCCATCAACAAAATTAAAACACGTCATGACTGTTCCCTGCATGAAAATTCACAGAATATTCACATAAACCGCTCATTCTTGCAATTGCCGTGTCAGATTATCAGATTCTTATGTGGGTACCTACATACAAGATGTCAATTAAGTAGGTATGTACTCGTTAAGAAAATAAGCGCATTTGTATCTAGAATCAAAAACCACATTATGTATGTTAATTTCAATTCAATATCCTAATTTGTCGTCGTCAATAAATTGACGATCGCAACGAACGGACAAAGCCAACGGAGAGGTTGCGACAGGCGATGGATGGCGCAGTGGCGCGGAAATCGAACGATCTCGGGTTCAATTTTGATCGGGTCAGCTTCGAAAACTACCAAGAATGGTCATCGCTGAAACAGGTAAATAAAAATATTGCTTTTACTTCAATTTATTGGTTACTTATGATGTTATTTAGTATGTTTTAATGTGATTTGCACTTGTTTATTGGTGCTTTGTGTTTACGACTTAAAGGTTAAACAGTTTTTAATAGTAAGTTGTAGCTTTCCTAAGTTTTTACCTTGAAAAATGTCAACAGGAGTAAAGTCCCGGGAAAATGATACCTAGTGAGGTACTAGGTATTGTATAATGATGCTTTCTTGCTATTGTTTATTTAGATTCTTGCACTACCTATATCGTAAAATGGTTGATCACTAAGTATACTATAAGACAGATATTAAAGACTACCTAAAAGGTCTTATTACTAGATTTACTAGACTAACTTATGATAAAGGCTATTTTTTTATTCATTGGACATAATTATGTATATTGGTTAACAGTTTGATCAGAAGTGGTTTATCGACACGATTGTAGGTACATGGATGGGATGAGAGCTGAGCGAGGTCGCCGCGGGTAGGTCATGCCGCGAGGGTCACGCGGAGGTGACACCAACGTGCGTGCGACTCGGGTGGCTGCAGGCGGCAGGCGGCGCTGGTGTCGAAGAGCGAGCGGCTCTCCCGACGGCAGCGGGCGCACGCACGGAATGCAGCGGGCGCGGCGCGGGGCGCGGGCGGCGGCCGCTGCTGCCGCGGCGACGCTCGCTGCTGCCCGCCAGTCAGCCGCGCGCCACCGACACGAGTTGTTCGAGACGCGACGACAACCCGCAACACCGCCGCACGCAGGTATGTACCGCACGTGACTCACTCCGCATCTCCGCCGCCCGCTCACGCAGGATCCCGCTCCGGCCTATCCTGTTCACTAGAAATAGTCGGTGGGCAGCCGCGCCGACTGCTTCGGCCGGCGGCCTCGAAGCGGCGTCGTGGGCGCGATGACCCGTCATGTTTGCCAAACGAGAATCCCTAAATACTTGCCGGTCATCGCTTCTGCGGCTTTATCAGTGTTACATATTTATTATTTGCCGGCGGTGCGGTGAGGTCAGCTGGCGCGCGCGGCGATGTGCGCCTTATTGCGTGGGCAGTAGGGTCGAGCCGGCAGCAGTGCGCGACGTCGGCGACGCGGGCGCGCCCGACCTCGGGCTCTGCTCTGTCTTTGCTCTGCTCTTGCGTCGTTCTTAATACGAGTAGCTATAGATACCACATATGCCACTACCCAATGATTACATCGGAGCCGACCGCGATGTTGTCGCGACACTCCGCTCCGTTTCTTCCAGTTGTCAAAGGCTATCACACAATCTATTGCCATTGTCACAGTTCCATTGGTTTGTTTGTAGTATTGTCAAAACACAAATACTTAGGGAGGAAAATACAGCACATGATTTTAAAGCATGCGATGTGGCCAAGACCTTTACTTTTGGGACTTGTGGACATCGCACAGCTGTTTTATCATTATCAATCAATTAGAATTTTCTTTGGTTTATTTATTGTAATGAAAATTCCGGTAACTTAAAAAAAAACTTGTAACTTCAATGATAGACCTATTTACGTAGATGATAGGTCTGCATTTAGCAGCAGGCCACAACAACTTTTATTATCTTTAATTTTTATTGGCTACTGCATTAACTTGATAAAGAGCCAACTTTGCTGATATTGTGTGCTTGCACATCTACCTACATATTATACCTGACACTGTTCGTTGATGAAACGGCTGTTTGAATCAGAGTATGAGACCACTACGTGACTTACTTATCCTTACGAGCTTGTTAACTGTTGAATATTTCTACGCGGCTGTTGGCCACAATGACGTAGTCGTTGTTGACACGGGCGTGCGTGAGCTACTCTAAAGGCCCCTAAACCAGACTAAATATTAAGTTTTTGCTATAGCGAGCGACATGAAATATCTACGGAGTGTGTGCGGGTTGCCCGGCGACAAGGGATCTGCCACTCGTCCGATGGCGTCTTCAGCACCAGCCTTATGCGTGTAACACTTCTTGTCCCACGCCATTTTCGACTCTACCCCACAAATACACGCCTTAATATGCCGTGCTTGCGCGTCGTCAGTTATTACTCCGTGGATGCGAAGCTAAAAATGTTCCCGGCCTCGTACCATTTAAGGCTCATGGCGTTTTCGCCCGTAAAGGAAGGGGCCGGAGGACTATAATCGTCTGAGGGGCTTAGGCGTAAACAGTGTTTCGTACCCGCAGCAGGGTCGAGATCCCCGACGCACAAGAGTGAAAGTAGGGGGGTGGGTGGCTGCCGGGTGGCGGCGCACCCCGCAGGAGTGGTCGACCCGGGACTTCCAACTAGGATTTGCTAAATCTGCTGCTTTTACGCCGTCGCTGCCGAAAAAGCAAATTACGGTGTTAGGTCGGACGCGCGGCGTTCGTAATAGCAATTAGGGTTAGGATGATGGAAAAGTCGTTAATGCACATGAAGCAAATGACTTTCGAAATGGAGATGTACACGTCTCTAGTTTACTATATGTTAGGCAACGTATCTTTGGGATGACTGTTGTATCTTAATATACCTAGGTACCTACTAAAGGCAGGGTTTTGTTCCTAATACGGGTAAAAACGCTTTCACAAAATGTAAACTCTAAAGAACCGGTAGCTACAGGGTTGTTGAAGTGACCGGTAGTCGAATAGCCAGTTGGCCACCTGACGCTATTCCCAGGGTCCCTGAGGGAGCGAAATACATGACATAGGTAGACGGTTTAAACAGTCATATTAGTTATACATACATGTTACAAAAATTTACTTCCTTAGTTACCTAATTCGTTAAAGACTGAACTGAAGGACAAATTTTCAGGCATAAACGTTTTTGTAGACAATCTAAAAAACAATTATTTTATATTCTTTCAAATAATCCTTAAATACATATAAAAAAAGCTTAAATAACATAAAGCTACATAAAGTTTAACATTTCATTTCTGTCGCTTACGACCGCCTATTCTGGTGGTCCGCGTATCTAATCACATGACTGTGTCACAAAGCCAACTGCGGTCTCAGATTCAAATCCCGCTGCAGGCAAATTTTAGTTTAACATGATTATATAAATATAAATTAATGGTCATTATAACTGTGTTATAACTAAGCATTATGTATCTAAACTATTTCTAGTTTTTACCTATGCATATGTATGTATTGTATAGTAGGTTGTTAAAGCTCTGTTAATACAATTTGATATTAGGTAAGTAGTATTGGTTCATTATATAAATATTACAATCAGTATGCCTTAACATGCACATTTATTAAATTTATTGTTCACACGAGTCCCATCACCCACCATACATAAAATATTCAGCGCATAACAATGCATTAACAAGCTGTTAATTTTTCTCGCCGAGCTCAACAACCGGGTGTCAATTCAACCAATTATTTTTCAAATTAATATAACTTACTTTACAATAAGGTTTCATTTTATTTTGAGTAGAATTTTGCAGGTCGTTTGCAATTATTAGTTATGATTGATATTTTAAATAGGCTCTAGGTAAATTACTATCGTCCGCCATGAATAATAAGGTGAACTAGTTAGCAACCAACAACGCCCAGTACTTAAATCACTCGAAAAATCCCACACGCGGTCGGGTTCAAGAACCTAATTAGTGCATCTCGCAAGCTGACTGTTTCATGTCGGTGCACAGACTAGCGCTCACGGTCTACGTAGCTAGGTATGCCATTACCACCTAGCTAGGTAGGTTAGGTATACCATTACCACCTCGCCTCTTCGTCAGACCGACCATTCAGACTTATGTCATTATACCGTCATACCATGGACCTTGTATTTCTAGCTAAGTAAGTAACAAATTTAAGGCTTCCCAGTAGGTCCCAGCACAGAATAAGTAATGTAATAGTACCAAGGTAGTCCCAGTCTTGAACATTATCACAATGTCTGGAGAGATGAGACTACTCGAATTGTGATATCGCAAATTGTTTTGTATGACGCACAATACCGATGGACATAATTTCTGAATTAATGGCAA